TCCGGCGATCCTTCCGCCTCAGCCTTCCAAGTAGCTGGAACTACAGGCGCGTGTTACCATACCCGGCTGAGTTTTTGATTTATTGTAGAGACGAGGTCTTGCCAAGATGCCTGCGCCGGTCTCGAACCCACGGGCTCAGGCAGTCCTCTCGCCTCAGCCTCCCAAAGTGCTGGGATGACAGGCTGAGCCACCGAGCCCGGCCGTCTGGTTCTTCAGAAACAAGAAATCCTCTGTGTTGTCTCACAGGACTTGTCTCTTATGGCAGACTTCCCCAGAGCAGTAGGCCGTCTTCATGTCACTGGATGCAGCTGAAACTGTGATTAACTTCAGCTTCTTAGTCCTTTGTACTTGGATAGCCTCTGAGGGAACGGAGTGCTGAAGATTGTGCAGGACAACTTATGCCAGTGCAGATGTTTCAAAAATGTGTTTCCTTGATACTTTTCTTTTTTTTTTTAAAATCTTTTAATATTTAACCTTTATTTCCATTTTTTATATTTAACCTATACATTTTCTTATTATATCAATGATACAGAAACAAAAAGAAATAGGCTGGTTCCTTCAATTCTGGGAATTAGGCTACACTGAATACCCATGACCCAGGGTGCTAGGAGGATTCACTCCCATACAGTGTGGTTGTGGTTTACAGCACAGTGCACCACATCATACTTCTGAGTGCATAGTGCATTCTTCATACACCCTGCCCTAGCATGTGTCCAGGTTGTTTCTCAAGGGCAGACCTCCTTAGACATCGCTGTCCTCTCCATGCAGCCTCTGTAAACTCCAAAGGGCCAGCAGAGAATGTGATCTTTTGGAATGGAGATTGGTTGTCTTCTTCATTTGGATCTAAAGTATTTGTATTGTGATAAGAGAGACCTTTCAAGCTGGGTCTGCTTTCTCTAGCTGAGTGTTGCTGACCATGGGTTCAGATGGTGCATATCCACATTCACAGGAGACTTGTTTTAAAAGTGTATTCAGAGATGCATTAAAACCTGCAGGGCCACAGTTCCTCAGAATGAGACCCCAAATACCACAAAATTTATGTACAAATTCAAGCTTGAGAGGTGTTGCTTAGCTATCTGGTTCTCAGTCCACGCTTCCAATTAAAATCACATGGCCAGGTTAAATTTAATTTACAAATATAAGGCTTATTCTGAACACGTAGGAGTGACTTG